AATCGTTGAGCACAAACAAAGAGTTTATTTCAAATTTCCAATCAGTCCAGTTGAATAAAAATTCCAATTTGGTACACTGAACAAAATTTTTAGCTTCCATATTACATTATCATTAACCAGGAAATATGCAGCAAAAAAAGCTATCGGTACACTGTAGCATCTACCTACGCACTGTTCGGGTGGAAGTTTTGAAATCAAAAATGAAAGTAAAAAACATCCGCGATTCAAATATGTCAACATAGCCATTGTTACTTTATTACGCAGTTAAACTTCGCTAAAACCCATAACCTGTTATAAAATTAACAAAATAGAGTGATGGCTAAATGAATTTCAGACTTTAAAACCAAAAAATCTGATGTGTACACCACATGACTTCCTTGTACGGAATATTAAATTATACGTATTTTTTTCTTGCATTTCATTTAACTTATTAGATTGAATTAAACTACATTAAACCACTTCGCCGACACCCACAATAAACCAAATGAATTGCATTCTTTAAAATTCACTTTGTTTACCATAGCGATACTCTGGCGCTAGCTTTACTTAACAGTATTATATTTCGTTCATATTATAACTCAGAATGCATAAAATTTATATCATTTAAAGAATTATCTAATCGTTGCCACATGTTCTATTCAAATACTATAACAAAGCTAGAACGATGTATAAAAGAAATTAAGCAAACAAAATGAAAAAGAAACAGTTTTTCTCAGACGATTGAGTATTTCTCATTCAATTAATTCAGACGATTGAGTATTTCTCATTCAATTAATTCAGTTTTCACTTCGCGACAAGGCAAAAATACATAAAAACTCAAAATATCTGTATTAAAAATTACGAAGTAAATCTTAAATACTTATTTCCTCGAAAAAATTCCAGAAAGGATTAAGCATGATTTAATTCGCAATAATAAATGAAGGCGTTATTTTTGTGTTGCGAAGCTTAGTGTCTCTAGATTGGCAGCAAATCCAAATCTCAATTCTGCTGTTTCAAATGTAAACAAATATGTCCGCCATGTTATTTAAAACTTAACCTCACTTAACCAAAACAGCTTTTAAATAAATGTTGATAATTGTACAAATATTGCTTCCAGAATTACGAAAAGGCATAAAAACTTAACCGAAGATAAAAACAACAACATAATTCAATCATTTTTTTAAAGCAAAAAATGTACAATTTAAAAAAAAATATAAGAGTAAAGAAACTGAGATCACTCAGCCGGGTAACAAAGTGGATCATATATTATATAATATATTTTATATATACGTTGGCGCGGCCGATTGAAACCAAAATATGAGGTGCACATCTACATGTTATAGTAGTCTTATATACAAAATTTCAATGTTCTGAGGCTACTCATTTTTGAGTAATGCGAGATACGTACATACATTCGTATGCACATACGTTCATACAGACGCCACAAAAAATTCTCTTCAGAATTCATTTTAAAGCAGTTTTTTTAGTTTTTTTGGAGGAAAAGAATCTTTTATTCTGTCCTTACGTATAGATATTATGCAAAAACATCGTTAAATTGCATTCAAAAGCGGTCAAAGTGGATATTTTCGTTGAAATATACTGCTCGAAGCTTTTCGCGATTACAATACTTCCTTTTTACTTTGTACAAGGAAGTAAAAAGGTAAAGAGAACTTACGTACGTCTTATTGTTTACATAAAAACTTTTAGAATGACAGAAATAATAGTAATGCTGGATGCATAAAACATAATAATCGAACAAAACAATAATGCCACTGAAAGTGCACATAACATCAATTAAATGCTCGATTCTCAACACAATCCTTAAACTAAAAAAGCCTCCTTAAAATCTTGCCGTGCAAGAGCTGTCTAACTTCTGTATATAATAATAATTTTCCAAACTAACTTCCTGATAAAATATTACAAACAACCCATTGTTTAAATCACAATATTTTCATAAAATTAACAATTTTTATAGAGTCTATAAAAACCTTGTTTAATTATGTGGACAGAATTTTCACTGCTAATTATTGTCTGAGCATTACTGAGTGGGTAATTATTAAATCAGAACTGGCTACTTGCTGAATTTTTTCAGTAATGCCACAAAGTCTGCCAAACATATTAGCTGCTCCATTGGTACATATACCTATGCAGGTATAATATGTTAATGAGTGTTTAACCCCTTAGCTGCCGCGGGCGTATATATACGCCTTGCTCAGCCGATGCGTTAACTGCCCCAGGCGTATATATACATCCTTCCAAACTGCTATCATTTGCTTTGCGCTGCTACACCTAAAATTATTCGCAAAGTTAACGCATCAGCTGCGCATCTGGGGCAGTTAACGCATCGGCTGAGCAAGGCGTATATATACGCCCGCGGCAGTTAAGGGGTTAATAACATACAAATTAATTGCTTTCAAATTCCATTGTTTGGTATATATGAAATCAGTTCTATACAACTTAATAATTCTTCTTTTATTTCTTCCAAAATAAAATCAATATACCTGACATAGCAAATTAATATGATCTTTTTAGAAATATCTCCTGATTCACTAATTTGTATTACAAAAAAATTTAATTTTTTTTATCTTGTGTATTAACTGGTATTCCACATTCTTTGATATTTTTCAGTTCTTCCTCTTAATGTATTACCAGAAAAAGGAATCAATTTGATTTTATCAGCAACCAAGCACCCAAACATTTCTAAACAAATGTCTGTTTAAAGCTGGTGGTACTTACGTATTAATGCAACCACTTCATCAGTAGAAGCCGCCAAATTTTCAAAATGTGCCGAGCTCTGGCAACGATGTGAATAATCATTCTTCTAGCAACCATGCACAGTCTTTCAGTCAAATAGCATCACCATTTTAGTATGTGTTCTCTTTTGTTGTATTCCAAGTTCCAATGGTTTTTTTACAAACAAACCGTGATATTTTTTGCCTTAAACTTAATATGAGCATTTTAGTAGTGACTTATTCTGAACAATGTTTTTTTAAATGCTTTTGTCTATAATCCTAATTCTTGTTTTTCATGCTCAGAATATGCACACAGTCTATTTTTCAGCTTAGAATATCTACACTCCAAATGTCATAATATTTTGATGGTTTCAGCATCATTTACAAAAACTTCATGGCAAATGATACACGCAAGATGACCATCTTTGTCTATATGAATTGGGCCAAAGAATAAACCCATATTTTAAATATTCATGATGATTATAGTGATTTCCCCCCCTGGAGGACACTCAGATTCTGTTTTGCTGTCATAATAACTGGTATTAAAAAATTTAATAGCATACATTTACATTTCATGTTATTAAAGGTTAAAAAATAATTTTTCCTTTAAGTATTAAAAATTATCAATGAACTATTTTTTATATTTGCCAAAACCAGTCAACTCGCTCACTGTCAACTATTAATACACACTCTACAATTCAACACTGACTGAAATATCCAGGATACAAAATTAGCTTTTGAAGAGCCTTAACATTATAAATGAACAAGATTTAAAGAGCATGTGCATGAACTCAAGAAAGCAAACACTCTGCATGAGAGATACCTTTGAACATTCCCTGGAATGTTTTCTCCGTTTGGCGATTACTTCATTTACATAGCTGAGTGCAATTTATTTTTTTGCACAGTAGAATTATTGCAAGCCTTTCCAAGCACTCTGCCCAGTTAAAAAAAAAGCAAGATGTATCAAGTGACAAATTTGAGCACACTCCAGTGGAGCCAATTTCAGAGACAAAATTATGGGATCTAGATGCTAAATTATGGCATTAACAGAAAAAATTTTATTATTATTTTTTAATAAAAAATTTTTTTAGCAGGTAAAAAGCTCCAAAGATCAGTCAAATTTTTTGGTTTCCGGACCAGTGGTTTAGAATTCCCAAGCTACAGAATAACCATTTGCATGCCATATAATAAGTGTATCACTTAAAACAAAACAAAACAAAACAGACAAAAAAAAAAAAAAAAAAAAATCTAGCGAAATTTATTTATAAAATTAAACATTGGAATTAATTTTCCTAAATTTTTGTAAATGGTTCAATAATACAATTTTTTTCATTTTAGCTTTCTTTGGAAATTTTTAGTTCCTCAAACAATAAAAAACTACTTACGAAAGCTAAAACTTGTTAGATTCAGACTTACAAAAAGGAAGAAAAAGTAAAAATAATTTAGGAAAAACATTAAAAAAAAGCAATATTTTTGTAGATACTATAATTTTATATAAAAAGAAAACTGATAAAAAGCTTATAAAAGCTATTCATTTCATTTTTTCAAATATCTATTTATAGCTTCATTTACACTGCTGTTCTAAAGACATTATAGTAATCACCACCAAATATAAATTTTGGACTGAAATAAAACCTGAAATGGTAATAAAAATCCCTCCAATACATTCAAAATGCATCATTGTTCAAAAATATAATCATATAGTATGAAATATTGGGTTTGTTTCCCTATATCAGTGCTGCTCTAACACTAAAACATAACCTCATCTTTTGATTACTTGAATGAAATCTTTCAAGATAAACAACTCTTTTTTTATGTGAAAGAATTAATGATAGATTCATCATCATTTCACAATTTCAAGATCATAAAATCCATCCATGCAGGCTGATTAATTTGTGATGAATCATTGCTTTAAACATAAAAAACTTGAAAAATTACATATAGGAAGGAAATTAACCCGTTTTTCTTTTAATACACAAAATTCCCTTAAATAAATAATGTAGCAGAGTAATTTTTATACATAAGTTTCTTTAAAATAAAATTTTTATTGAAGCAAGATTCTGCTCATCTCAAACTAAACATTTTCTTTTTCAGAGTTAAACTAAACATTCTAACATAAAAGTCACTGAATTCAGTATCTTATTTTATAAAATTTTTATTAAAGCAAGATTCTGCTTATCTCAATCTAAACATTTTCTTTTTCGGAGTTAAACTAAATGTTCTAACATAAATGTCATTGAATTCAGTCCCTCATTTAACTTTACTTATCTTCGAATTTGACAAAATTACCTGTTGCAATATAATTTCAATTTCTGATGATCCAGAAGATTCTACATCAAAAGTTCTTTTCTCAGGTATGTTGGAGAATAGTACCTGTAAAATACAAAGATGTATGCTTAGAAATGCAGATAACAAACTTCAAAATCCATTAAATTTTAAAACTTGCATCTTAAGCTTCTAACAAATGCTGATAAATATTTAATAATGAAAATATGGTACTTTCATATTATCATAACCACCCTGGCAAAGTTTGGCAATTTTTTAAAGATGAAAAAGAAGGATGACAGTTAATTGCAAAAAATTACTTATTACTTGCATATATATTTTATGTTTTAATTATGTATTTATATCAAATAATAAACCTACTTACAAGCAGATTTTCATTTTTGTTCTGGCAGAAATGTTATGATGACTGCTTTAAAGCAGTTGTTACCTTTAGCCATTTAACAGAAAAATACTGCATCTCTTGTAAAAATTTTGTTGCAGTTCTTTCCCTTGCAGATAAATCCCAGAAGTGCACATTTTAAAAATGAGTTAATATGAAATATCACACCTTGCTTATAAAAACTGCTGGAACTTCAAATAAAATAAACAGAATGCTTATGAAAATGGTGATATTGCTTGTTAAAAGTGATAAATTGTTATGCTCACCTTGAAAATTCAGTAACTTTTACTGAGGTGAATGTGTTAATACATAAGTACTGAAAATATACTGATTTAACCAAATGATTTATAGAAACTTATATTTCTCAAACTGCTAATTATTTTTAGAAAATATTATTATGACACAACATTTATTTTCAAATAGACAGGCATGAACAGAAATTTCTTGCACGAAGAAACACAAGCCAGCTATGTATACTTAATATGTACAAGGATGGATAAAAAAAAAAGTAATAAAAAATAAAACTACAAAATTAATAAAAAATGATTTAATTAATAACAGACAGAAAATACAAAAGCGAATTAGGAGGCATACTTTCCAATAATTTTTCCACATAATTACAAAATCTGTTTAGGCATTTATCTGAACACAGGATCAACTTGTTTAACTCGGTTTGGTAGAAATCACATTCCTGCCCACTGACCCAATTCTCAGTAGCTGTTCTCCCTTCACTGTTTGAAGAGATCCTCACTCAACTTTCTGCATGATAAATGTTCCTTCAATGTCAGAAAAAGGAAATAGTCAATGGGTGCTAACCCTGAGCTATATTGGGGGGGGGGGGTGCCTCGAAATTTCCCACTTTTCCAGCAGTTCTTGAATTTGAATAGCAGTATGGGGCTGGGCACTGTCATCTAGGAGGATGACCCCCATCACATGACATGCCCAGGCACTTGCATCGGATGGCTTCACATAACCCTGTCAAAGTGGCATATATATATATTACAATATATATTGTAATGTTGCGCGCTTTCAACCTGCACGCAACAATAGTGGTGACTGCTATGAACTGGAAAGCATACAAAGTCTTGAGAAGGGTTTAAATCCCTTTTTATTCAACTTTAGAAATTACAAATGCGTGCTCTTGACGCTCACAAACTACGCCGACCCGGCGGTAAAATAAAAATAAGAAACTAAAAAGAGAATAATAACAAGTGACTAACTACGAGGCTCTCTACACGTAACTAACCTAACCGCGTTCTGAGATACCGCTGACAATTCAGCAAACTTCTGAATATTACGTTGAAAGATTCAACAATCTGCCGAGGCAAGTACACAGCCGAAACGCGTGGTTCTTCAATTTCTAACTAGCCACCTCCACGCTCGTAAAGCAAGAAAGCACACCTTCGAACTCGTTTCCCTTCTATTTTACTCAGATTACTTCCGCTGACAATTTGAATCCTTGCGTGTTCTACTAGAATTTACATACTCATTGGTAATTCCAGGGGAAAGTAAGGCTTGACAGGAAAGATAGTTTAAACTTAAAATAAATGTTAGTTAAAATAAATATAAACCCTACAAGCTCAATTAACTTGAAAGCTGTGGGTGATGTCACTAAACTCATGCCAATCATTCTGGCAGAAGTTTAATGGAACAGATCATTCTTTATATAAACAGATGCAAATTATGGACATAATATATAAAAACTTAAATCACTTTTTGCAGTTTTTCACATTGCATCATCACTGATTATCTGTTTCAAGTCTTTCCTCCTGTTTTGCTTATTTTTTATGCCAGGAACCTGTATCTTAAAAACTACCCTACTGCATGCTGTCCAAATTTAAATGGATTTAACCACAGGTATCCAACCTTGATCATGCAGATAAAATACATATAACTCATAAAGAAACTTTTTCTTTATGAATTTTGTTTTGAAATACAATTACAAAATGAAAGATATGTATATTCTTTCTCATTATTCTTGCTTATACCTAATTACGCAGACTTTAAAAAAAAATTTTTTTTTTTTTTTTTTTTTTTTAAATCAGTTTTTTAAAAAAATTCCCTTCTCTTTAACTCAGTTTAAATTTTCAGTGATTTCAAAGTTGCAGTCAGTTTTTCTTAAACATTTATACAACCTTTATCCTCATTTTTTACTTAATGAGCACAAAATAATGGTCAAGTTCTTAATTTTACTCCTTAACAAATTTAACACGTTATTCCAAAAGATGGAATTGCTTTGACATAAAAAACATTTATTGTTAATCTGACATTATAAAAGCGATACTCAACTCAGAGTCTTTTTTTCCTTAACTCCAAAATAATTAATATTTATAAAGCATGGAATCTCAGTTATCCTAATCAGTGTCCAAAGATTTCAAAGTTATTTTAAAACTGGTTTGCTTCCAATTCTGAATTAAACGCTAAATTTTCACAAAAATTAGTAAAATCAGCAGTTTCTCTTCTCTTTCTCCATGATTACTTCAAGTTAAAATTAAGTTAGCTTTCCAATTTTACTTTTCATTTGAAGAACACACATTCCCACCCCCAACTCTTAAAGATAGAAAAACTATATGGCTATGTTTTATAGTATTTTTTAAAAATATAAGCCTAATTATAAACCTGCATAATATTATACAAATGATTCAAAACTATAAAACATTCATTTATACTAATTCAAGAGGGTGATTACAAAAACAGAGAATATGTGAGTGACCATTTTTTATTCCTTTCTAAAAGCAACAAGAAAAAAAAAAAAAAAAAAAAAAAAAAAGAATCTATTAAAAATTAAAATCTAGTAAAGATATAAAAAAATTAACATACAGTCCGAGACTTAATTTCTTCTTCATTACTAGCTCCTTTTACATTAAAATTATTTTCCATCATCTTCACATTTTTTACCTAAAAAAAAAGCATTATTTACATGAAAGTAATACAGAATTGCAACAAGTATTTCTCAAAAAAGTGCAAATAAATCTATAGTTATAACAACACCATTTTGAAAACAAATATACTATTACAGATATTTGCCAGTAATTTCAAAAAACGACTGGGTATATTTTTAAGTAAATAAATTGTTTCAGCCTAAATCTTTATTATAATTATTTAAGTAATTAATTCCTTAATATTTTTTTAAAAAGAAGAAGATGGGTCGAAGTAAACATAAAGTCTCATTTACAATTATATGCTTACTAATATTCTATTCTCATGCAAGAAAAAATAGTTTATTGCAATAATTATATGACTCTATAGATTTCTCTTCACACACAGAGACTGACAGAAAAGAATTATACCTTGCGATGCAAAAATTTAATGAAATATATATTTCATTTGCTTTTTTATATACTAATCAGGTTTTCCTAAGTTTAGGATTGCAATAAAATTTAACATTATTATCAGATCTCTTAAAACTTATGTAGCTCTAATGTGAAGATTATAGTTAAACTTATTTGGATGCAGATATGTGCTTAGCTTTTACTCAATTGCTCAAAATGAAAGAAAAGTTTTGACCCTTTTAAAATGTTTTGGGGGAAGAACTACAGCATATAAAAATTAAGGTTAGCTGTTCAGGGCTTTTTGCATAAAAAGAGATACTTTTCAGTGGAATATATTTTCTCACATATAAATGTTCTGAAAACAAACATGGGACAAAAAAGAACAACAAACACATGCAAAAATTAAAACAAAACAACAAACATACAGAAATTAAAACAAAAGGGAAAAAAGAAGAAAATATTCATTCCATCATCAGGAATCAATGCTCTTATGAAACTGATAGAACTCCATGGCTTTACTTATTTGAGCATGATAAGATCATTCCAGAATATTGGCAAATCAACACAATAATCAGAGATAATTTGACAAATCCCAAAAGACACTATCTGCCACTTTTATGAGTCAATGGCATATTTGCATACGGGCCAGAGTAGACCAGTGTCTTACAGCTCTTTCTCTTGAATAAATCACCCAATTCTCTTGGGAACTGTAATAATTTCTTTTTCTGTACATATACAACAAGAAATGGAAAGAACAGTCCTCACCTCTTACTAGAGGTATCACTGAAAAGCCAGGCAGCTGAAAGAAGCAGTAATGACAAAATAAAGGCCCATTTCCATTAGTGCATTGCGAATGTGTAGCGTCATTGAGTGAAACGCATACGCAGACCGTTTACACTATTGGGTTGGATATAAGCATACGGAAGTTCGGTGGTCAATTGCATTTATTACCACCAGATGTCTCTGTATTTAACTTAAAAGATTTGGATTCTTAAGATATTTAAATTCCATGTTATTGGAATTTTTTACTTTTGCTTATGAACTGCAAAAGTAAAGTATGCTAGCAATTTTTAGATAAGTAAGGTTATAATGCATATTATGAACATCACTAATTGCATAGAAGCTGAAGTAAATTAAAAAAACATTTTTTGCGTTTCTAGAAGCCTTAAATATTAATGAAATAATATATGTATTATTAAAACTAAAATGTACTGTTACTGAAAAATAAGCAAATAAATAAATAAAATAAAAAAGTTAAACAAATTAAAAAATAGTTGGTACTTTAAAAATACAGAGCAACTGTAAAGAAAGGTTCACAATATTTACACAAAATTTGCTATGCTTGTATACCGCTGACTGCCATATGATATTGCATATTTTTAAATATACCCAAATTTCGGGAGAAAGCAGGTAATATATAAAATTTTAGCATCGATTTCTTCATTTTTAATTTCTTCAGGGTCATAGCTGGATATTTTATTAGAAATCTTGTTTGTTTTAAAATGCACTAATGGGCAGTTATATTTTATGTATAATCCATAAAATATTATTTTTAATTAAAAATTTTTTAATTCATATCTCTTTTTATAAAAGTTATAAAAATAAGCTTTTTCTCTTTATATATATATACACACATTAGGTAAAGAACATGGAAATATTTAATTCATTAATTCCTGCACTTCTGCTGGAGAGGACTGAATTTAAAAGCAATTATTATAGTATTTTTTGTAAATGTTTAGGGCATTAATATTGTCTCATGTTAATTAGTATTGAAAGTTTAGAGCTGGAAACATACCAAAGTCTGAGCACATGTATGTACATTCACATAAAAGTGAAACGAAAAAAATATATATACAGTCAAAAGTCATTAGTCCGGACACCCATAATCCGGGCCTCAAAGCTACAAACTTTCTGCGCAAGCGTCAACGCATATGTGCGTAATACCTTTATGCATGCACATATGGGTGTATGCATGCGCATAATACATTTACGCATGCACGTTTAATGTATAACAGATGGTATAAGCTAAAATTATCTAATTATCTATTTCAGTTAATGTTGCAGATTGCGTTGTTCCTTAATCTTCGAATTGGATGCAGCTTATTATTTTTTGCAGACTGTTAGAGTAATTTTATAAAAGTAAGTTGGAACTTTCAATTATGTCAAACAGAATTTCTGATGCTGGAGCTGCCAAAGGATTTTCAAAGGAAAAGAATGTTTGGCTAATCTTTGGAATATGGTAACAGGTAGTTTAGCGACATTTTGGTAAGGCGATAAAGGTTACTAGCTAGGACTTTAGCAGTGTACATGGATAAAGTCAAGAGTGTGCGCAATGCCATTTTTGTGCAATTCTGGGATGTTTTTTTAAAGTGAAAATAGGTTGACGTGTACATGGATACCTTATATGTGCAATTCTTAAAAACGCGGCAAGCAGGTTGCGATTCTGCACTTTCTACCAATTTCGCACCTAATCTTCGTCATGATTAAGCACTTTTGTTCCAAAAAAGTTCTATCATAAACGTAATTTGGCTAGCAGATTGTTGGGGGGGGGGGGGAAAAAGAAAGAAAGAAACATGCCTTTAGTTCGTAAAAACAAAATGGCGTCAAAAAAAAAAAAAAAAAAAAAAAAAAACTAGCAGGTTGCTGTAGCAGGGTTGGTCGGCAAAAAAATGCCAAGTTACCATAATCTAAAGATTAACTGAATGTTTCGATGTCCATCAAACAAAAAGTGGAATCGCTGCAAAAAATGGATAAAGGCTCCTTTGTTTCTCTAACCATTCCGAAATCTGTTTATCAATTTCACGCTGCTCTGCGCAGGGGGGGGATGTCGCGGCGCGCAGTGAACTGGAAGTTGATTTATCAGCACTATCCTTATCTTTAGAACACGATGTTTTTGTTTTATTCGGCTTATAATTCCTTACTAAATGTAGTATTTCATCTCAATGTACTCCCTCTTTGTTATGATTTAAATTAAATTCCTCGTCATTACAAATATCACGAATACAAATCAAATAGTTTTCTCGTTGCAATTTTCTAATTTCGACTATGCGTAATGTATGCTTTACGCATGCGCACGTTGAAAGAAATGTTTAATAAAGTAAACAAATAAATATTAAGCTTTTTTTTTTTTTTTTTTTTTTTTTTTTTTTTTTTTTTTGTAAATTTTGATACCCTTTAGATCATAATTCCTCTTTATTTCATAAATTACTTTTTCATATTTTTAATTTTATAATTTCTGCATGCCATCTTACCAGATTTAAACTGATGATCTATAATCCGGAATCGAAAGACTTTTGCCTGTATATGTACAGGGTATGTTTAAATTCATATTATATAATTTTCAAAACTTTTTGTGGGGAAAATTTAAATAAATAAGAGCATAAATAAATCATTATATTTAATGCATATAATAATAGAAATAAATTATAAAACACAAATACAGATCAAATTGGAACAAGAAGCTGAGAAAGTTGCAGACAGGGTGGAAAAAGCGTATGGGATTCGAACTTCCGACCCCAAAAGTTAACCTTGTTACCGTCAGCTTTACCACTAAGCTATCATCACACAGGAATGGTATGCATATTTTGGCTTATAAACATCAAGTAAATCAATTCTTAAAACTAAATTTTTTGGTCCTATTTATGTGTGCTATCATCTAAAAAATTCACCAGAGCTTGTTCTTCAGCTTCTAGTACATTTCTTACAAAAAACATTATTTTTTAAAGTGGTGTTCCTATTGAAGTTAAACGGGCTGCTAAAAATACATTCCATGTGCTTATATGTTTATATATAAAAGTATATATATATATATAAGTATATTTATAAATATTATATATAAATATATATAATATTTTATAAATATACTTTTATATATATAAAAGTATATTTATAAATAGAGAAAATACAAATTAGCATAATATTTAAAAGGCTATCACATTTAATTAAAAATTAACATTTTTAGTTTTTATCTGTTTAAAAAAAAAAAATTAATGCTGTATTTGATTTACTATAGCAGTTTGATAGAGTCAGATATTCATTTTCATTAAAGGTAAATGTGTATGAAGAACTAGGAAATAATTGTCAGGATAAATTTTGCTATTTCATGGAATTGGAATTATAATTTTTGTGCCTGATTTTGTTGAACGCCTGATTTTATCTGCGAACAAGTACTGTAGTTGTAATTATCTTATTTTTCTTATCTTTTTTTAACTAAATTCAGCTGATTGCTGTCTTTTCAGCACGCAGAATTCTTGCTATAATGTTAATTCAGAAATAAGAATTTTTTATCTAAACATTCTTTCCCTAAGCTAGCGTTCATTGCTACTTCTGGCCAAATTAATTTTTGGTGACAACACCTGATTGCTCCTTTTTTACCACATGACCTCCAACGCATTCACAGACATATAGATAGAAGTTGAACATTGTTGAACTCCATCCGTACGTCATCCGTCACCGTATATTGACTGGATTGTCAATGTCAATCAAAGTGAACTCATTCCCTGATTGTGCCCACCAGCGGCCGAGTGGTAAGATCACTGAACACTGGTAGTTCGGTCCGAGGTTCGAATCCCGTAAACGGGTTGGCTGCATGGCTGTTTTTGTGGTTTTCCCTATGTGTAACGTGTA